GAGATTCTCTCTCCCTCTCAAATAAATAAATCTTAAAAAAAAAAAAACTTTAAAAAAGAGCTGCTGCTCTGCAACATGTCATTTTCTTTGACCTAGTAACCTCAAGACTAATTATTACCTCGCCGGTTTTACAGCTTACAGAGGAGAAAAAGAACTAAAGGAATTCCTTCTCCCTCTCTCAAACACACACACCCCCCTCTACCTACAACTCGTAAGTAATGAAGCCAAGAACTGAACCTAGCCTGCCTCCGGAACATCTTGATACTGAAGCTACCAGCCCTACCTCCGTCTTTACAACTAACCACAAGCATAGCTGGACTTCCCAAAAAATACGGAAACAAACTAAACATCTTCGCTGCCAAACAGAAACTTAGGAAACAGAACGTTACCAAACTTCTCAGAGGAGAGAAAGCAGTCACTCACACTTGGGATCCCTAGAGACCAGCTGTTACCGGACACTCTCTCATATCCAAGTCCTCGGCAGAATACAGGGTAACCTGGAAGACTCATCACGTCGTTTCTAACCGCCCCCACCCTCTGCCAACCTGATTCTTTATAAACGTCACCTGTTTATAGAGCCACAACAGGGTGCAGACAACTGTGATGTCAGCCAGTGTCACACGTTCGCCCACCAGGAAAGTCCTCGTCTTCAAGTGAGCATCCAGTAGCCCCAAAATTCGCCTCACTTCCTCCTTTGCATTCTCTGTGGCCTATTGATTTAAAATGATCAAAAACTTAATAGTGGGTACCCATCCCTTTCCCTGCTCCCCTCCCCCAATGACAGGACAAAGGTAGCTATTTCATTTACTAAATCCTGGCTCATCCCCATCCTCTTTCAATGGAGTCAGATCCTAGGATCACTCCAAATGTATCATAAATGAAGCTCTCCATGTCAAATTTCTTCGTGGTGCAGTCTGGATTAATTTCCCACTATACTGACCTACTCCCTTACCTTTGGATTTTAGAAGGAACCTTAGAAGTCGTTTAACCACCCCCCTACCATTTGGTATAGCTTTTCTACAGCAGAAATCTCTCCTCTGACCACTCACAAAAGGCACCACTTCCATTGGGTCTGTGTGACAAAGAACCCAGATATCATCAACTGCAACCCAAATTCACACCCCAATGATGAGGTCTTTTATTATCCACATATTCTTAGCATCCCCTTCTCTCAATCTATTTTATTTCTCACTTCCTGACGCTCAGGAGCTGATGCCATCCCTGCCCTTGGCTTCGCCCCCAGTTCCAAGGCTTACCTGCTTATTGTGGTGCATGATGCCCAAGGTGGGGAACACCCAGGTACTGGCTGGGGGCACTATGTCGCTATCAGCGAAGCTCACCCACTGCACCACCTGGGCTGCTGCCTCTGGAGTGCTTCCCCGCAGCTCCTCATTGCTCACTGCAGAGGCAGAACACAAAGGTCAGAACTTTGGGGTCATGCCAACATCAATCCAAGTCCATGCAAATTCCTCTCCTGTCCACTCCAGCTCACCCTCATCCTCTCCTACCTCCTTCATTCCAGATCTTCCCATTCCCACACCCACTGCAAATTACCATAGTATGCAATGGCATTGCTCTCGAACACACAGAATCCATCGTCACCCTCAAATGCTGGAACCTGGGACAAAACAGTCAAAAGATAAGTAAAATTCAGAAAAATATGTGAAATACACAGTAAGTTCTCACTAGCCAATCCCAGGAAGTGAAATCATTTTGGATAAAAATTCTTAAATAAGGCTGACAACCCTTACTCAGCAAACTATTGATACAAACTACTGGTACTACCCGTAACCCAGGAATGAGAAGTATTTGTTTTCCCTTACAATCTAAATTCACATAAGAAACCCCAAAGATTAACATATTTTTAAATGTTCATATAAAATCCCTCAATCAAATAGGCCAAAGATCAAAAACCAAGTGTCATATCTCTGTCCATATTCTTTAAAGTATGGCTCCCCACACTGCATTTCTCTCTTCTCTGTTTAGCTTGGTTATTTATCGATCTCTATAAGCCCCTTGGCTGGCTCATGGCAGATACTTGATACATTTGCACTGAAAACCATCAAAACTCACTCTCTCCCACAAATACAAAGAAACCTGTGAATTTTGTAACAACTCACTGGACAGCTCTGCATTATTTCTAACTACATGTAAATCTACATTCATCTCAAAATAAAAAGAATTTTAAATCACTGAAATGCAAAGAAAAAAAAAAGGTTATATGGAAAGCTCCCTTTCAAAGATGGAGACCATCTTCAGAGTGAGACAATCTCAGGGCTCCTTGAGTTCTCAGGACCTAAGACCCCTCTTCACTTTCCTACTTACCTTGCCGGCAGGAAATTTACGGAGAAATTCAGGGGTGCGGTTGGTTTGGCCAAAGTGGAAGTGGGGTGGTGCGGAGAGCACGCGGACCTGAGCCCCGCTGTACTGAGCAGCAATGAGAGCCTTGAAGGCCCTCCAGTTTTCAGGATATGTGTACAGGGTCTATGGGAGAAAGGGGGGAGGGAATATTAATGAGTAAAAAAATCCCAGTCCCAAATGTCACCTCCCAGGATAAATTCCCTGAGTTACTCCCAATCTGTTCAACTCACTTTTACTCCCCCTGGTGAACCAAGCTCTCTAGTATTGTGGTCATGTGTAATCAGAGTCCTCTGAAATACCGAAGACAGAACTACACACCAACTGCTAAATAAAGCTTGTTGACAGGCTTGACCTTCCCTGAGGACAGCTCTAGAAGCATTCTCATCTCAAATACATCCTCGAGAAACCCAGAACCGGTAGTTCCCTCAGACTCCACCTGCCGACAAACACACACTCCTCCCTTCCCGGAGCCCTGGTTTCATTCATTGACGGTGAGCGAGTGAGTACCTGCCTACTCCACTGCGGAGCCGCTCACCCCTTCCAAAGCATCACCCTGGTCTCTCACACCATTTCCAAGTTCCCCTCAGAAGAGCCACGGAGAAACCGAATGGCATCTTCTCTTCCTAAATCAACTCGTTCTCCCCAAAGAACCCCTCCTTCTTGTCACGCGTACCGTCCCTCCGGTTCTGTCCCGCAGTGAGTTCCCTGGCGTTGGCTTCTCCTTCTATTAACCTGGCCAGCACGGTGTGACTCCACCGTCCGGAGAGTCCTCCCACTCCCAAACCTCCCCGCCAGACGAGCCTTAACCGCAGGCAGCCGTACCTGCCCACAAAGACCCTCCTCTTAACCCCATCCCTGCTGTTGCCCCACAAAACGGTCGCAAAAGTTCTGTCAACCTGCCCGGATCCCACGTCTCGAGGCGGCAATGAACCCGAACCCCCTTCTCAGGCCCCAGACGGCCAGGATCCGACATCTCTTTTCTCCTCTACCCCAGACCCTTCCACCTCTTTGGCCTCCAAGAGTCCCAGCCTCAGTTCCCCTCAGGGGCCTGGAAGCCTTGCTCTTCAACAGTACGGTCTCTACACCCCGGATCAGTTCCCCACTCGGCTCCAGAACTCCTCTGACGCCGGAGGGCCCTACTCGGGCAGAGGATGGCGTCGGATACGGTGACCTGGATCGCTGGAGCCGGCAAACTTACCCCAGCCGCCATGGTGATTCCGCAGAGAAAGGGGGTGGGGCTCTCGGCGCTGCCGCAAAGTAAGCCGTCAGGGAGAGAAGGGGGGGAAGGGGAGAGCCGTGGAGAAACAGCAGCCGCAAAGCGAGGACGGCACAGAAGGCATACGCACGACAGTTCGGTCTCCCGCGGCGGCTGAATTGGAAAAAGAAGGGGGTGGGGCCTGCTGGTCTGCGAGGCGGAAAGCTCGCGCCTGCGCAGTGGGGCTCTTGGCTGGCCCGCAACCCCCCCCCACACACACACCCCCACCTCCAGCCCAGGCATGGCCAATCCGAGTCCCGACGTGGAGGTTGAAGGCGCGGAGGGTAAACTGTGAGAACGAGCTGGAAAACCTCCCCTTGTCTGCGACGTGGCACAGCTGCCAACTCCGCGCCGCGCCGGCTCCCAGAGGCGTTCCCCTCTAGCTCGGGAACCCGCGGTGACTTGACGGAGATCCTGCCAGGCCCCTAACATCAGGATTGTGGGACACTCACAGGAGCGGAAACAAGTCCGGCGTGGATAAGTCCATTTGTCCATTTGTTCCCGCTCTGTTTTTTTAGAGGAGAGAGTGAATATCTAACCAGAGCCCAAGTCAGAAACCCTCCCAGAGTGAGGTTTCCTCCCATTAAACCACCCTACGGCTCCGCGATGCATTCGCTGCAAGAAGGGCCTGATACCCGGCCTGCAGCCGGGGAGAGCCGAGGGAGAACACATGGCGGATCCCTTCCACCTGTCACCCTGGAGGGGCTGCCAGTTTACCCATGATGGGCTGCCCTTTACCCACGCTTAGGTCGGAAACTGTTTCCCCCATTTTAACCAGAACTCGGTTAAGTGAGAGAGTGGACGAAGAAGCCTGAACCCCAATTTCAGGCCATCACCATATAAATCCCGGTGGCAAGGTAAATGTGGAGGCAAACTTGGTTCTTCTGCCAGGTACTGCCCAAGCCGCTCAGCCGGCCCTCCATCCTTCGGGAACCCTACCGAGCGGGCTCGGGGTGCAGGGACACACACACACCATTGCAGGCGATCGCTGCAGGCTGTGATAAACGGTAGGAAGGAAACAGGCTGAGACCTATTTTAGGGTAGCCAAGGACGGCATGGCTGAGAAGAGGCGGTAAGGTCTGGGGAGGACAAGTACTGGGTGGAAGAATTACTACCAGGTGGAAATCAGAGGAAACTGTAGTGTTCATTAAACTAGCAGCTTTATTGCCCCTTAGGGTCCCTGTCTTCACTCGAGGAGGTTCCGAAGTGCTTGAGGGAGGAAAACCTGTAAGAAATGATGGAGGTCAGGGAAGAGGCCTTGAGAATCCTGGATTGGGGTCACGGTGAGAGTCTGGTCAGCCTGGGAGGCAGATGCCACAAAGGTGAGGAGCGGCTCAGCCTCGGGCCGCTGTGCAGCGCTGCTCAGTGCTCTCAGCTCCTGGGTGACCTGAGCCTCAACTGCCAGCCACTCCGCGGTGCCAGCGCCACCTGCACGTCTCCCCTTGGTCTGCTGCTGCAAGCGTCGCCGGGCCCGCCGCCGCCCCTGCCACACTCGGTGCCACAGGGCACAGCGCCAGCTCACTGAGGGGAGCCCCACGCCCTTCCCTGTCTCACCTCGGGACCCTTCTCGGGCTGCCTCGGGTCCTTTGGGCGCCTGCTCTGCCAGTGCTGCAGGGCCCGGCTGCACCTCCTCACCAGGGGCTAGCTGCTTTCCGGGCGTCTGGGGTGGCTCCCCTGGCCGCCCGGGGCTCTGCACCCAGTCCTGCACCGTCTCTCCAACCTCTACAACCATTTCCTCCACCCCGTCTTCACTGTGGTCCCCGATACGCCCCTGCTGCTCCTCCTGCCCTTCCTCACAGCTTTTTTCCTGTCCATCTAGTTTCAACCTTTTGCTTGCCCCTCCCTGAGGAGGCTCCTCAGGTCCCCCTCTGTCTGACCGCAGTCTCTTGGTTCCCTGTTCTATATGGCACCCCAGTGCTTCCCTTAACACCTGGGCCAGGGCAGCGGTGAGCTGGGTGAAGGGAGCAGGGGGTAAGGGGATGGGTGTTGCAGACAGCAAGGAACTAGGGGAGCTAGGCTGCAGAAGGGGGAGCAGCCCCCAGTCCCGACCCCGGCAGGAACGCCGCTGGTACTGGAGACTCCGGCAGTAACTGGCTGCCGCTCGGCAGCAGTTCTGTAGCCGCCCAGCTACCCGGCTGGTCACGCTGGCTGCCACATTGTGACTCAGGTCAAAGGGGTCCTGGAGATTCATGGGGCCAAGGCGCAGACCCTCCCAGCGATGAGAGAGCAGGCCCCCTGCCACGGGCAGTGCCTGACCCTCCCGCAGGGACAGCAGTGAGCCACGAAGATCCCAACAAGAGACGCAGGAGAAGAACTGGGCTAGCAGAGAACCTGGAGGAGGAGGAAGACCAGGCAGAAGGGGTTACTTAGAGGCCGGGACCGAGACAGGCCTGCACTAGAGGCATTCTCTTAGAAGGACTTTCTTTTCCCTTCCAAGTAGCTCAGAAGAGTGTCAAAAGCCAGACTCCTCTGATCTCTATATAAACAAGAGGCCCAGCCTCTCTCCCCATGCCCCCATTTCTATCCACAGCCAGCCCCAAAGGCCCCAGAGGCTCCATCTTTGGACTCGGCCCTTGCATCACCACAGGATCCTCAAGCCCTTGCCTGTACCCCGGCTTCCCCCCCAGATGCTGCTCCTTCCCCTCGCTAGCAGTGTAACCTTGAGCAAGCCACTTAATTGCTCCAAGGCATGGTTTCTTCATCTGTGAAATGGTATTAACCATACTAGCTCTCCCACGAGGTTGCTATGAGAACCATGCCTGGCAAACGGTAACTGATGGATATAACCTACAGTTGTGATTAACATCATTTATTAATCCTCTCCCGGGCTCCCCAAACTCACTGAGGGGCTCCTTATTGGTGCTGGGCTCCAGTCTTGAGGCATCCCTGGGGAAACTACAGTCCCAGCCATCAACCTCCACCTGCTCACCCTCACCTGTGAAAGAAAAAAAGGTGAGGGTCAGACCGGAAGCAGGAAGATTTGGGGGTGACAGCAGAGATCTCATTCCTGGGGTAGCTCAGTGCGTCTAAATGAGAAAGGAGGAAAGCGGAAGCTAACAGGATAAAAGAGGGTGGAGGCCAGGCCGCTGTACCTGCTTTCTGGGTGAGCTGGGACACAGTGGGCAACACAGGAGGGTCCCTGGTCTGAAGGAAATAGACCACGAGCAAGGTCAGGGCGTAGTTACTGAGGAGGGGACCACTTCCTGGGTAAACAATTATTCCAATTAGATTGGAGGTGCATCTAACACCCTGGTTGGATCTCCCAACCCTGGTTCCTGTACCTGCCTCCCCTCCCCTCCCTGAACCCCCGCCTTTGCCCCAACACCAGCTCAACCCCAAGTCTGTCCTGATTCACTCTCACCTGACAGCCCTCGACCTTGAGCCCAGCAGCGGAGGGTGTACACGAGGGGCCGAACTCGCCCATCCAGCTCAGAGCAGAGACTCAGGAAGCGAGAGTTATGCAGGGCCAGCCTGGAACCAAGACAAGGATGTCAGTGCTGGGGAAACCCTCTGAACTATCACCCCAGCCCTTGTTCCAGGCTTGCAGAACGGGGGGCCAGCTGGAATGAGGCCAAAAGAGGGCTTCCCAAGTGTTTGCTGACACAGTCATGTCAAGAGGCATGCAAAGAAAGGGTATGCAAAAGGATGTCACATGTGGGGGCGGGGGTGGGGTAGACACACACTGCATCCTATATGCCCATCCTGGATAGGATATTCAAGAAGGGTTTTGTTACAAGACTGCTCAAAGCCTTTCATATGCAAAGAAACAAAGACCAGAAGGGAGGGAGAGGGAGCCTGGGTGGCTCAGTTGGTTAAGCAACTGCCTTCGGCTCAGGTCATGATCCTGGAGTCCTGGGATCGAGTCCCGCATCGGGCTCCCTGCTCAGCAGGAGGTCTGCTTCTCCCTCTGACCCTCTTCCCTCTCGTGCTGTCTCTCATTCTCTCTCTCTCAAATAAATAAATAAAATCTTAAAAAAAAAAAAAGGAGGGAGGGAGAAAGAGACAGAAAGAGGAAGTGGGGGAGAGGGTGGGAAGAGAGAAACTGATTTGCATCTAACTTAGCATTTCCCAAACTTATTCAACCCTGGAACTGTTTTCTAAATCCCCTAAAGATAGTATTCCAAGGAACAACACACTTTACATTCATGAAAATGGATGCCAGACAGGAGACAAATGGCAGAAGGAGGGACGGGACCCAACAAGGATAAGCTTGAGGTTCAGCAAGTACAGGAGCTTCCTACACCAGGGCTCCCTCCTCACCCACCCCAGAATGCTCAGCTGGCCTTCCCCAACCACCCCCCTAAACAAAGGTACCGGTTACTGAGGGAGACGTCACCGTGAAGACCTGAAGGCCGATGGCAAAACTTGACCACAGGGCGTCGGGCAGAGGGCACAGTTTGGACTCGATACACTCCAGGGACACAGCCCCGAAGAATGGATCCCACTAACTCCAGCATGGCTACCCCCTCTGTTTTCTCCCCGCTCAGGGCCTCTGCTAGTTCCAGGGCCTTCCCCAGGTCCCCCTCTCCTCGGTCCTCCTGCAGCGGTGAGGCTGGAGGCAGGGACTGGGGAGAGGCGAGGGTCTCAGAAGCCAAAGCAGAGTCCGGAGTCTGGGGTGCCAGGGAAGAGGAAGGAGTTTCAAAATCCAGGGCTTCTGACTCTTGGGGAGAAGGAGGCTGTGAGTCTGGGGGGGAAGCCGGGGTACAGGCCAGGGCTTGAGGATCCAGTGGTGATGCAAGGGCCGAGTCCAAAGATGGAGACTCTGGGGCCTTTGGGGCTGGCTGTGGATAGAAATGGGCTCAGTGAATATTCACCTCTCCTGCTGTCCCCCATCTGGGCAACATTCCCCAGGATATATCTATTACTGCTTATATGCCAGGTCCCATTGCAAGGCCTTTATATATATTAACTCAGTTAATCCTCACACCCCCTTTTTAAAATTAAAAATAACTTTGTCACTGTCATGAAAGGCAAAAAAAGGCAGAGGAACTGTAAAGGAGACAGAGGGGCCAACACTAGCCTGCTGGTGGGCAACTGATGAATGCAGGGGATGAGCTGCGGACTA